TCTCGCAAGTAATGAAAACCAGTCCCTGAAGTATCCCGCTGTTGTCGTTCTCTAAGAATGTTCGATCGTGTTGCAGCCAGGAATAGTTTCTAGACGTGGACGACTTACTCAGTGTCTGGTCCAATACATGCTGCTAACCAGCATCGTTATCTCAAATGTACTAAGTAGATGCTGACGTAGGTCTACATGCGTTAGATACATGAACAGCGCGTTGAATCAGGACATCATGAATAGCCGCGCACAACTGCTTCGATAAATCCCACGCAAACGTTTGCTTTCAACGAACACGTGCTTACTCATATTTGATTGTTGCTTACGATATTTACGTTTTAAATCCCATAGTTGTCATAGATAAAGTCAGAGTTTTATTATGGAAAATACGTACAAGCGGTTGATTATCTTGAAACACAGGGGTTGGCACAAATGGATCGAATTGTGATTGTTTCATATACTGCTACGGACATCGAAATTCAAGACTTGATAAATTTTCATCCAATTTGTGCTTAAAAGAATCAATTGTTGTACCTAAAACAATGTGAAATGGTAGAGAATTCCAAAGACTGCACACTGTGATACCAAATGAATGATGCCGGCATTATGGTCGACCTTTGTGGAGCACTAATTTGAATGAGTGCTCCCTCAAGTGAGTATTGGGCGACAAGGTAGAGTGAACGACATGGGTGATCAGGGTTCCGTATCATTTGATACACCAAAATCAAGTCCCTTCCAATTCGGAAGATTCCAATCTTTCTATATAAGTCTTGCAATACAGTCTCTTGACCATTCTGGTAGCCATTTTTTGTGAACGTTCCAGAAACTTTCGATCACACTGCAGCCATATATATATATATATATATGCCGAAGATGGCAGACTTGTGGTGACATTTCAGGAAGGCTCGCCAGCTCATCTGGGTCTTCTCTTAAGTGAATAACACCACTCGCATGCTCCGCATCGAGCCGCTGAATTTTATTAACAATAATTTGATTTCCTCAATTGAAAAGACAGTTTTACAATCTATTTTCAGAAAGAGAGAGCTAGTTTCAGGCATAACATGGAGTACGAAAATCTGAAAACATTATGGGGTCGGTGTGAGAATCTGAATTGTTTAATTCCGGGGAGATACAATAACTGAAATGATAGTCGAATGTTAAATACATGATCGGTACCGTTGGATTCCCATGCACACACACACACACACATCTTTATTTTCTCTTTTTCTTCACGATGGATTCTCGACAGGGTCAGAAAGTGTAGATCAATTAGGATGTGTTTCTACCCAACCTGATTTATTTACTGTGTTTAAAATTGTATGACACATATTCAACAACTCCACATCCAGGTTGATAATTGAGTACGAGTACAATGAGTAATAAACCTTTTAGAGCTCAGTTTCAATCCTCAGGAAAAGGAATAGAAACAATCTATTGATGTTGTTGTTACTATTTCGCTTAAGATAATCTTTCTCACTCCAGTTCAGAACCAGGCTTGACGTTCACCAAAAGTATAACCCATGCGCCAGTCTTCGACTATCAATTATATGTAGCCTGGCTTGCCGAAAATATATCTAACATGCACAGAAAGCTAAGACAATTGTACTATATTTACATTCCTCAATAATACTGAGACAAACTGGAGCGTTTGTGGTGCAACCGTCTCACATCGGTAAACGTTCCAAAGTAAATCTTTGTCTGGACATAACAAAAACCTTTCGACAAAAGAGGACAGAGTTATGAAGCATGAACATTGAACATTCAACTTAATAAAGAAGGAGATCAGAAACCAGTTGGGGCACAACTGAAAGACAATTAAATTTCATATAAACCTCTTTAGTGTTACGTGAGCCTTTATCCTCTGAGCTATTTGTTTCATCTTAAATATGATCGTAAGCAGGTTACTGGTTTCGGGACGCATACCAGTTTAATAGAGACAGGTTCAAGATCAATGCATTTTTATGCGCACCATTGTTAGATGATTACAAAAAAAGTAAACTCCGTGGTCACTCATGATACACTGCAAACTAAGACCTGTAACTTGGCGTGGAGAAGTCCCCAGTAGGACAGGTTTGATTCTGAGCTGAACGATATTAAATCAAGCTTGGATTGATAGTGTCAGGATTCGAACCTCGGGCCTTAGAGCCCAATGTAACTTAAATCGATTGAACGCCACAGGTAAAGATTGTTGAGAATTTTCATTTATTCGAACTGCATTTGTATATCGAACATTGCCTAGATTTGAAAAGATTCAATGCTTTTGCTATGGTTTACGGACGAATTTGAACATATGAACAAATATATGTGTGGCTCTCCAGCCACACGTTGCTCAACCGTTGTGACAACTGGGTATGCCAGTGCGCTTTACTGAATAATTCTTACAAGCACCAAAGCACCAACCGATTATGAAGAATAGTGATACAAGTCTGTCAAGCATATGTTATCAAACCATCACGGTTTTGCAGTGTCACGTGTCTTTCGACTGAGCAACGCACTACCAAGCTCACAAACCTCACAACCACACAACTACAAACCACTAACAAGGCGGTTAGCGTTGAACGTGAACTGGTCAAATTGTTTGCAGTCCAGTGTCTCATGGTTGAACTCTTGGTCTTCATGTTGCATAAGATCGGAGAAACCGTTCATTATATGGAGGCACACAGACAAACAAATGAGGAATCACTAATTAGCTGCAAAAATACAGCTTATGTACATCTGATATTCGACATTCATGTTAGAAACGTACGTCGGTCACTTCGGTCATCGACGACAAGGACTTTCAAAACAAAAAATATCGTCCACCTTGTAGAGCGTGGTGGACAGGCATTACATTTTAGTGGCCTCATTTCGAGAGTATCCTACTAGTTTTAATTGCGTACAGGTGCAAACGATTACGCAATCAACTGACATTGTGATATATTTATCCCAAGAGAAGAAAGTTCGGTGGCTGTTCTATTTTTAGACTTTTGAAGCAATCGGTCGAACGTCTTTTCTCTCAGTGTTCGCTTTACGATGTATACGCCCCTCAACACGAGTCTCATTGGACGATCAATTCCGAGGTTAGATGAATAGTGCTATGTGACTGCGATGGAGTACAGTCTCTCGTGTTTGACTCCCTCCGAAAACCTCAGTATGGTTGTGGGTGTATCCAGGGTTGCCGCTGGTCACCATTCCCTTGCTACTCGCGAAATGCTCCCATATAAACAAGCGTCTCAAATAGCCTCTGCTGAGGAAGCCCTACTCCTTGCCTTCTCGTGGCGGTGTTTTTCCACCAAAGTAAAAGGACGAAAATTCGACATCCGCGGCTATACCCCGGTTGGTGGGCTACTGGTAGTTTGCCAAGGAGAGCTGGCCCAAACCCTGATTCCAAACAGACTATGGGGAGGAGTACAAACCACATACACCTCCCGATTACGGCAGTGATCACCGGCTCGATTGGGCATCGATGTGCATTGGGCACCTCGGACGTTTGATTCCGTCCATTGGGCGTATGATCCGATGACCTGGACACCAGCCTCCAACGGATTGCGGTTTTCACATACCAACCCGCTGCTTTGCGGGTCAGGCTTTGGTTAACCGAAGGCTTCGGTTATATATATATATATATATATATAT